CGGGCCTCACGAGCTTTTCACTCATTGTTAGACATGGGCTAGGCGGATCAGGTGAGACTTATGGCCTCTCACTGAGCAAGCGCTAACAATGTTCCCCACCAGAATTATTTCCATCTTTGGAAGCCCTTCCCGAACGCCTTTGGGATATGCTCTTGAACCGATGTCCTGATTTGGAAGAACTCGCCATATGCAGCTTCTCCTCATCAGCACGTCTGTTTGATTTCCAGCGGATAACCGACGGTCATTGGCCAAAACTACACACCCTCACGCTTGGATCCTTTGGTTATCAAAACGACTTTTCTCTAAGCCCACCAACTGAGGCAACCCTTGGCCGCTTTATTGGCGCACATCCGTGCCTGAAATATATGAGACTCTCCTGGAACTTCAAGCGTTGGATGTCCCCCGATAATTTCTTTCCCATGAATCTCCCCGCTTCGGCGTTGCCGAATCTGGACACGTTCATTGGGATATATCAGCAATTAGCTGAATTGCCGAACCCAAGTTCGATAACTACCCTGGACCTTACGTGTGAGCCGATCTACGAGAGCCGACTGCCCGCCATTTGCCGCGTTTTACAAAAACTTACCTCGCTCACCTCGCTTGACCTTTGGACGCATGTTCCCGACCCCGATGGGGATCACACTCACTTCTTCCGCTCTATCCTTGTCTCATGCCCAAATCTCACTGACTTTCACTTTATGTGTACCACTTCCTTCACAATGGTGAGCCTTGACAAACATCTATCATCGGTCTCAACGCTGACCACCTGAACTTTTGCTGTAGAAACCACTCAAACAGCTTTCGATGCAACTCTGCCTCCTCCCATGTCTTAAAACCTTCTCGCTCACTAAGGGCCACAAGTACCGGGATGAGAGCATGCTTCAGAGCGCTCTCCAGATCATCCGGTACAATTCCTCTCTTCGGCAAATCAACATCAGATGGGCGCGCGAAAAATCGCCCAATCATCTAAAACAAGAGGGTACCTATGATGTCACAGTAGACGGCGATGGCCATCCCACCTTACTAGCACATGAAAAGGGTATTCCGCTGATCGGCAGGCCCTTTGAGCGCAAATTCAACTACCAGCTGAATCCCAAAGGATTGGTGAATAAGTTGGCACAGAAGCGCTCTTCGATCATCCAAACTTGACCCGGATATTCACCGATTGTTGGACCCTAAACCGTGGCGTTGCTCTAACGACATAACATCCTAACACTTACGATCCCAAGCATTGCGTCTTGGCTATGACGACCTTGATCATTTGCACGTTTGTTTTGGTATATCTGTATTGTAAACCCTCGACCTATGTTTGTTGTATGTACCCCATGTATTATATGTAGATGACACCGATGGCACATTTACCCACCTGCAGGCTTGTTAAATTTCACTGGTTTTCAATCTTTTGGCGGGTAGTCGAACGGGATGGAACCTCCAACAAGGAATCTGCCGGATCCTGATTTCTACCAACAATATGGTGTATGAGGTCGCTCTGCCGCTTGCGCACCGTTGGAGGGGGATCGAGCGGCCAGGTCGCTCGGGTTTAGGTCGTGATTTTCTCAAGAGTGGCACCTGGGCCGGGTGCAGAACGGCTCTAGTGGATCCATGTGGATTGGAATGCCTAAAATTGCGCTAAGGGGCACGAGCGGGCGGGCAGAGCTCGCCGGGTTATGTGGCGGCTGTCAAGTGCTGCTGGCAAAATAATTATTGCGCTGGAGCGTCATCATTTCATTCCAGACCATACTTACTTAGCACGTCGCACAATGCTTTTTGCTTTGATCTGAAACAACGGATATTTATAGTTGTTCCGGGTCCGCGCGGGGTGGGGTTGATGGCAGCGCCAGGCAAAACCGGGCCGGATAATACGTCTATATTCCATCCGTCGTGACTCGTGTAGATGTTGCACTCGTTATCTTGTGCTGTCATTCCATATGTTACGCATGATCAGTGTGGGCCTCAGGGAATGTGCGTGTGGTGTTGTTGGACGGCGGAGTCTTTCGATTTTCGACAAATAGGAAGGTCAGCCTGAATCATGGCCGAGGTGAGCCCGAACCTTCCAGATGTTGGGCCAGGTTGAAACCATACGGGCATAACTGGGCACTTGACCACCTTACGACATTCTTCTTTTTCGTTCACATCAAGATATTGGAGCACCCTCATATGAGATCTGTCATTTCAAACCACCTAAATCTGATGGACTTTCAAAAATATCACACCCATGCCTTCCCAGGCGCAGCGAGGTAATACACATTCTTACACATCTACCTCCTGACGCTCAGGTTGGGGATAAGCCCATCCATAGAAGACATAAATATAGCTTTTCCCCGGATTATAAAAGCCTCTCTTCCTAGCTTCCTGAACTTTCCCCGCGCTCCCCCATCCTCCACTCACGTTGGTTTGGACGACACTCGCGAAAATGGGTAAAGGCGTGAGTTGTAGGCCTTATCTCGCGGCATGATACTGAACACCTCGACCATATCTCTAGTATAGTGCACGAATTGCGTCTAATCCCGTAAGCTCTGATCTTCATCACTTTGGTCATTTTATTGATGCTTCTTTCGTAGTACATTGTAGGCTCATTCGCCTGTATTGGCGGAGGCCTCTTTGGTCTCGACATCTCGTCAATGTCGGGTGTGTTAAGCGTATGTCAATATTTCAATTGATTCCATGGAATGGTTGGTTGACCTTTGAATATCAGAATGACGCGTATAAGAGAACGTTCGGCCTTGTGCGTCTCCCCGATCGTATAATAACTCCTTTTTTGCTGACCGAAGCCATAGCCGGGCCCAAACGCCCAAGGTGCCATTGTTGCTGCAATGCCCGCGGGCTCTCTAGTTGGGGCACTCGCAGTCACCCAATTAGCAGACAGGATTGGTCGTAAACGCACCATTATCCTTGCTGGAATCATTTGGGTAATCGGTTCAATCCTGCAATGTGCTGCAGTGGTACGCATCACTTTGGAGGTCTTTATGAATAGGCGCTTATGAAGTTGTTTCTAGGATCGTGGCATGTTGGTTGTTGGGCGTATCATCTCGGGCATCTCCGTCGGTCTATCTAGTGCCGTTGTACCAATTTACCAGTCAGAGATCACGGCTCCCGCTATCCGTGGACGCATCGTATCATTGCAACAATGGTGAAACCGCTGTTCATCTCAGTCTGGCTGGGCTGAGCTAACCCTTTTTTGTGTAGGTCTATTACTTGGGGTATTCTGATTCAGTACTTTATCCAATTCGGAAGCTCCTACATCAATGGAACCGCGTCATTCCGCATTCCATGGGGCCTCCAAATGATTCCAGCCATCATTCTTAGTTTGGGTATGACACTCTTCCCAGAGAGTCCTCGGTATCTCTTCGATCATGGCAGGTAAATGATTGCTATCAACTAAGCCAGTGGCTGCATTACTAATTCAATTACAGGGAAGAAGAAGCCCTTGAGATTCTGGCTGATTTGCATGGTGGCGGTGACAAAACCGACGAGCTCGTTGTCCTCGAATTCGAGGAAATTAAAGAACAGGTGCGTGTATAGATATCGATCAAGCTGGACCATATCAATCGAGTCTCGCAGGTCCGCTATGAGCAAAGGGAAGGCGCTAAGTCATACCTTGACCTCCTCAAACCCGGCAACCCGCGCCGTGTCTTCCTTGGTTGTGCTCTCCAAATGTGGTCTCAGCTGAGCGGAATGAATGTCATGATGTGGGTCTTGTGCGCGCCGTTCTGACGGCAACTTGAGGCTTAAAATATATTTGACAGGTATTACATCATTTATGTATTCCAGGGTGCAGGTCTGGTTGGCCGTCGTGGAAATCTTATCGCCGACGTGAGCCCATTAGTTTTATAACTGTTCATTGTACTGAACATTTCTAGTCCGTCCAATACGTTCTCAACGTCGTCCTTACGAGTGAGATGACCCTTGGCAACTTTCGCGGGAGATTGACTGATCTGCATTCTAGTACCCGCCATCATTTACATTGACAAATGGGGTCGCAGGCCGATGCTTTTGGCTGGAACGCTGCTGATGGGCTTCTGGTTATTCCTTGTTGGTGGCCTGCAAGCCCGCTTCGGACATTGGGGAATAGTCGATGACAGCCGTAAGTGATGTCAGAATGTTTGCCGCGGTAAAGTCTTACATCTCCAACAGGTATCTGGGTTATCAGCGACAACGGTGCCGCGACAAAAGCGATCATCGTATGCTCTTATCTCTTTGTCTGCAGGTGAGATATGAATGGCCCTGCTGCGTTACCATTTTATTCAAAAATTGGCTAGTTTTGCCATCACGATGGGACCTGTATCGTGGACCTACCCCGCGGAATTGGTGAGCTAGCTCCCGTGGAGGTCGATTTTGTGCTAAATGGTCACTCCTTCCGACAGTACTCATTGAAAGTAAGAGGGAAGGCAGTGTCTCTGGCGACTGTTAGTATACCTCCTCACTGATTCTGCCTTCCTGAGTTAATTTTTGGTCCTCCAGGCAACAAACTGGCTGTTCAACTTTGCGCTCGCATGGGCCGTCCCCCCTGGTCTCTCTACCATTGCCTGGAAAACATATTTCATCTTCGGAACCTTCAACTTTGCGGCGTTCGTCCACATATTCTTCATGTACCCTGAAACTGTCGGACGATCACTCGAAGAAGTTGAGGAGATCTTCCAGCAAGGGCATGTATTCACCGCCTGGAACATCGGGAAGAATGTTGGGAAGAAGACCTTGGCCGAAGTCGTCGAAAAATCCAAGACGGCGCCGGTACGTGCTCTCTATTCTCCACTAGCAACCTCATTGATGTGTTCCCTTTGCAGGAGGGAAAGGAATCGATTGACGACGGGGATTCAGCATGATTTTACGCCTTTAATGTTTTGTATATTGTAGCCTTGCATCAATGTTTTTTTTTGGTCGCTTGAAAAATATAACGAGCATATAAATTTTTTGTTGGTAAATGTGGGGCGCGCCCCGATGATTGTTGACCAATAGACACCATGCCCAACGAAGACATATCACATTATGAACCCAAAAAGTGACCCCTACCCGAGTCGAACGGATGACCTTGTGGAATTACCAAGGCTGGAATCACATGCTCTAATCCACTGAGCTAAGGGGCCCATTAGTTGTATTCCACTCATCGACCGCCGAATCCAGCCGCCTCGCAATCTTTCCAGGCCACACTGGATGTCGCGAACCTTGGGCCTCGCTCTGCGGGCCCCTTAGCTCAGTGGATTAGAGCATGTGATTCCAGCCTTGGTAATTCCACAAGGTCATCCGTTCGACTCGGGTAGGGGTCACTTTTTGCCCGCCTTTCCGTTGTTTGGACCAAGTTTGGCGCATCCGGGTACCCCGGCTGTTCTTGCCGGTGTCAAACAATTCTTGCTCCGACGCCGCACGGCCAGCCGCCACCATCGCAGAATCCAACATCAACGAGTTCATTGAACATGCTCCGCACCATGTGAGGTCGGTCGTGATGAAATTTGACAGATTGATTGACATGTGGCCCCAGACTTGTAATATGATCACCGGAACTAAAGACATCAACCGACACAATCCACTATCTGTGTCGTCCGAGCACTCAAATCCCATATATCAATTTCTGGACACGGTCAATGGCAAAATTTTCAGGGTCTGGCGCTTCCGCGTTCTGGATTGGGGCCGGCTGGACCAAGCCGATCTTTTCGCTACCGGTTGCTTGTGCGGCGGTTGCGGTGTCGGGATATCGTTGCCTTTTACCCACAGACTGAGATGGGGAAATCTGAGCGTACCAGGTTGGGGTGTATAATTATTAACCATGGTGCGTTTTGTCGTCTTATGGTCACTGGAGTGCTAATGGCTTAGGACGAGGCAGGTACGGCCCGCGACAACGAACGAGTTCCATGTCTGTTTCTTTCAATACACTTGGGGTCCACGAGCATGCCCGGATGGCCTTTGGATGCGCGCGGGTCGGCGCCCGTATTTATTCCATTCTGAACTGCTGACATCTCCCTTGGAGTTATATCTCGGTTGCTGCTCCTCCTAGGAACATGAACCACATGTTGCTGGGCGTATCTTTGTAAAAATAGATGGGCACCCCGGGCATAGGCAAGCATGTGCTCATTTATCTTCTTTTTGCCACACTAAGCCCAGGCCTATAAGTTTTGAGCTTCTGGTGGGAAAATCCACAAGGCCCCCGCACCGAGGTATTCCGCCCTGCTGCCATTGGTCTATCAAGCGAACGTGGATATGGCAACAACTCAACACGACGATGTGGCCTTCGTTGTCGCCAGCGGGGCTGAGAAGCAAAGTATCCAGCATGATCTCGGAAAGGAGCGATCTTCTGTGGACAAGGTCTTGCCGGAGGACAGTATCGGGCATGACCTTGATGGGATCCATAATGGGCTAGAATTTCCTACGGAGTACGAGCGAGCGACGTTGAGGAGGGTGCCTGACTCGATCCCGTGGAATGCCTATTGTGAGTCCAGGGCCCGATCTGCACCACCGGAGAAACTTGCTAACATCATCTTTCCAGTTATCGCGTTTGTTGAGCTGGCAGAACGTTTTTCTGTATGTGGTTTATTATCTGAAGATCTGTCGTGCTAAATTGGAAACTAAATTAGTTCTTTGGGTGTCAAGTAGTCTTCGTACGTCTCTTCTCTGATGCTTAAGTATCTTCCTGACCATAAGCATAGACGAATTTCATTCAACAACCCCTTCCAGATGGCTCACACACCGGTGCTGGGGGCATGGATGGTCAATCTGGTGCGCTTGGGATGGGCCAGCGCGCGTCCACTGGCATAGGAACATTCTACCAATTTTGGTTCGTACGTTTCTTAAGGCAAGGCAATCATAATTTAACTTTCTATGGTTTCAAATATAGGTGCTACATTACACCGCTCTTTGGTGCATGGATCGCGGATGCTTACTTGGGCCGATTCAATACCATCTGTATTGCAGTCGCCATTACACTTGTTGGTCACATTATCCTCATCATTTCTGCGGTTCCGGGCGTCATCGAGAAATCGAGCGCCATTGGCGCATTCTCAGTGGCATTGGTCGTTATGGGGCTCGGTACGCTCTATCATGAATTCCACCAATCGTTGCCGACGGGCGTACTTTAGGCACGGGATTTTTCAAGGCGAACATCTCTCCGCTAGTCGCAGAACAGTATAAGCGAACCAAGTTGTTCGTCATCACAACCAAGAGTGGCGAACGGGTCATTGTAGATCCAACGATGACCATTGCGAGTATCTACATGGTATTAATTCCGCTCGCCACCATCTGCATGACAGCTGATGGGGTTTCCGCTCAGTATTTCTACCTGTTCATCAACATTGGTGCCCTCATTGGTCAAATCGCAATGACATACTCAGAGAAGGTACCACTTATCAAATAAATACCCCGACACTCGTTTCAATTAACCTATAGTTTGTTGGATTTTGGCTCGCATACACACTTCCCACATTCGTTTTCCTGCTGTGTCCGCTGGTCCTACTGATCGGAAGGAACCGATATGTTCGATCTCCCCCCACTGGCTCGGTCCTGGCGACTGCGCTCCGTCTGTGGAAGTATGCGGCACGTGGACGCTGGAGTTGGAATCCCGCCACGACATGGCGGCAATTGACCGCTGATGATTTCTGGGATAACGTCAAACCGAGCAGTGTTGCAAGTAGGGGGGGAAATAAGCCGGTGTGGATGACTTTTGATGATCAGTGGGTGGATGAAGTGAGGCGAGGATTCAAGGCTTGCGCCGTGTTCCTCTGGTATCCGATTTATTGTATGGGTTTTCGTTCTTCGTGCTTGAGAGACACTTCATCATTGCTTTTTAGGGTTGACATACAACCAACTCAACAACAACCTTCCGTCCCAGGCCGCGACAATGTCAACGCATGGACTACCGAACGACGTCTTGTCGAACTTGGACCCCTTCGCCCTGATTATTTTCATCCCTATTTGCGACAAAATTGTATGCTCTATCCGCCTCCCTCAGCCTTTCCACATCTTGATTTGACCTTCGTAGATCTACCCAGCCCTCCGACGCGCGGGCATGAACTTCAGCGCGCTGAAGAAGATCACGGCTGGGTTCGCTACCGGTGCCGCGGCTATGGTCTGGGCAGCAGGTATGCTATTTTTATGCCTTGGGAAAGTGTTACGATTTACGTTGCCCCACGTCTAGTTGTCCAGCATTACATTTACAAGGTATATATTAACTTGCTTTGATTGATACGTGTTGCTTATCTTTGCCGAAGACGAATCCATGTCACGAAATGGCTGCCACCTGCGATGAAGTTTCGCCGTTGAATGTATGGATCCAGACTGGCGCGTAAGTCACCCAATCTTTCACATGTTGATATAATATTAACCGTGTTCGTAGGTATGTCCTAATTGCGTTTAGTGAAATCTTGGCATCCATCACTGGCCTCGAATACGCATTCACCAAGGCGCCGAAAAACATGCGATCACTGGTCATGGCAGTCTTCCTATTTATGTCCGCGATCTCATCCGCCCTGGGTGAGGCATTTGTTTGTACGTCTTATTCCGTCTATTTTTCCGCTTCGTCTCTTATTCAAGGTATCATTCAGCACTTTCTGGGGATCCGTTGTTGGTGTGGAATTATGGCGTGATGGCCGTTCTCGCTGCGATCACGGGGGTTGTGCTCTGGCTCAGCGTCAGGCGTTTGGACGCTAGAGAGGATGAACTCAATAACCTGCAAGAGGGCCATCTTGCCGCTGCTGAATGAATACAAAGTCGCAGGAGTAATAATAGGTAGCACAATGAGTTTCGGGTAGTACTCTTAATTGTGTTTCATTGCCTCATTCATCCGACAGATACGTTGAACATAGTGCTTCTAGTGAGAGCCGGTGCACCAATAAAAATTCTAGGATTGAATGATGTCATTGACCGCATGACCACCTTTTGATTCAAAGTTCGCTAGGGTGACAGGAGTCTGGTCCCCACAGGTCCCCACCCATACGCATGCGGACAAGACGGAAATCACTCAATGTTATAACATGTTTTTCAAGATGGGCGATTTCCGATTTCACTCGATAAGCAGGTGAAAATGATTTTTTTTTCGGTCGTGGGGTATGGAACCCATGGTGCGTTTTGACGTCTGTCATGCTGTGATTACTGGAGTATTGATTATTAACGCGGCAAGCGGGATAGGCGAAAATAATTCCGTGTCCGTATTTTCGGGGCACTTGAACTTGGGACCTGGAAGACTCTGGTGTATCGAGAACTGCTGGAGTGGGATGTGTCTATGCACGAATGATATTCCGCTACAGGCCGTGCTGGTTCCATCATGAACTGCTGACATCCCCTTCAGTGGGGTTTGCATCAACCAAAGGTTCGGTCAGGAACCGCGTGGGGCCACATGCTAATGGGCGTATCTTTGGTGTAAAAATAGAAGAATCGCTTGGTATGGGCAAGCGTGTGCTCATCCGTCTTCTTTCTTGCCACACCAAACCCAGGCCTATAAAGTGCGGCCTTCCCATGGATAAACTCACGAGCCCACCTCCCCTCCTCGGACATTTTCCGCTGCCGCCAGGCTGTCAATCGGATTTTTGAAACGAGCTCACGGTAATTTGATATGGCAGCCGTTCAACACGACGACGTAGTGCCCGTCGCCGCTGGGGATGCAGCACCCGTCGCTGCCAACAATGAAATCCTGCATGATATCAAGCGGTCGTCGATAGACAAAGTCTCGACAGAAGACCAAAGCATTGAACATGAGCTCGATGGGATCCACGATGGACTGGAATTCCCTACAGAGCACGAACGACAAACCTTGAGGAGGGTGTCTGATTCCATCCCCTGGAATGCCTATCGTAAGTTCTACGATCCTGCTTGTACGTTTGGGAGCATGGGCCAACATCAATATCTAGTCATCGCAGTCGTTGAGCTGGCGGAACGTTTCTCTGTACGTGATTTATGCTCTGCTGATCCGCCGTGCTAAATTTAAAACCGGATCAGTTCTATGGGTGTTCGGTGGTATTCGTACGTTGATTCCTCCAGTGTTTAGACATCTCCGTTGAGCATGAGCGCACTAGACAAATTTCATTCAACAACCTCTTCCCGACGGCTCGCACTCCGGTGCTGGAGGGGCGAACGGACAATCTGGTGCCCTTGGCCTGGGCCA